GTGAAAATCTTGACACTTATAATTAAAGTTAACGATTAAATAAAATTTTCAGTGTAAAAGCAAATGTTTTCCAAGAATCTATGAAAATAGTACATGTATGTCTGTAAGCAGAATAAATGGAATTTTCCTATTGCATGAAGATATCATTTTAACAAAAGTCACTGTAATACTAAAACATTAAGGCTTAAAAAAAAAGATAGTCTGGCTCAAGGAATTTGGGTAAGGAGGTTGGTGAATTTTTTCATTAAAAGACACTGAAGTAGAAATAGTTATTATTGGGTGGGAAAAAATCGGGATAAAAAAATTTCCAGTAGAATAGAAAAATATTGATTCGGACCTTTTTTTTCACTAGGTCAAGAGAGGATTGATTGATTGTATATTGTTTTACGTCCCATTCGAGAATTCTTCACTCATATAGAGACGTCACCATATACCGGTGAAGGGCTTCAAATTTTGACCTTTACTCGGCACTCAGGGCCATTGAGCAGTGAGGGATCTTTATCGTGCCAACGCCTGCCGTGACACGGGGCCTCGGTTTTTAAGGTCTCATCCGAAGGACCCGCAACTTTCACGTCAAAGTGCCGAGCGCATGGCGAAGGAACAGTTGGTCCCCTTTTTTTTATCGACTTAGGTCTGTCGCGGCCGAGATTCGAACTCACGACCTCCCGATCACGGAGCGAGCGCTCTACCGACTGAGCTACCGTGAACGGTGTCAAGAGAGGACAAACAGTCATTTTCTTTGTAAAGATGGCCTTACATGATAGCAATTTCTTTTATTCTTTCCTAAATATATGCATAGTTTTTTTTTTTAATGCTCGGTCTTTCGGATCTTTTCCCCCCTGAAAATCTGCCCGAAACTGATAAATTTTATGCTTTTTTAAAATTAATTGAGAGATGAAAACAGGGGTGAATATGTTCCGTATGGAGGCATATTTTTATTATTATTTTTTTTTAGGAATACGTAAATCAGGCATTCGTAGATAGCCCAAGAATATAACTCTGCTACATGTTTATACATGTGCAACCAGCAGATGGGGGCTGATCAAAAATTATTTGTCAGAATTATAGTGTAATTGCAATGGTATACACGTGTACATGTGATTTTGATGTTGGTCTCTTACAATTTCACAAGTCACCACATAAAACATTTTTATTTAATAAGTTTTAAAAATCTCATTCATTTAATTTAATTTTATGGAATGGAAAATAAGAAATGGGACCTACCAAATGTAAATAATGGATTATTAAGTTGATCGATTTTAATATTGTAAGGTCACAGATCTGAATGGTATACACGTTTAAATTGATCAGAAATCGAAGATCAACCCGTGATTTGGCTTTATTGTGTACATGTCTTAGGCACTGGGGCAGAACGGGGTACAACATGTATATTCCATGTAGTGGTCAGCGTAACAATGGGCACTAATTATCTATTGTTCTGCGACTGCGGTCACCGGTATTAATAATAAACAAATGAACCTACACTGTACATGCACTTGCTACTTGGAGCAGGAACAATCTTTATGGACGAACAAAAAATTGAATATTTGTTATCGATTTTGTTGACAAATTAAATTGTTAGAAAAATGTTTAGCAAAATAGGACACAGTACAAATTTAAAGAAAAAAATTAAAAAAAAAAAAAAAAAAAAAAAAAAAAAAAAAAAGAAAGAAAGAAAAGAAGTGAAGTTATATACATTGTACAAACTTATTAATTAAATGAAGTAACATTTCTTGAGATAAAGTTTAAAGAATATCCGGGGGAGGGTGCTACATTTAAATTCATTTGAATCTCTGTTAACAATGTTTAAGGGCCTGTAAAACGGAGACGAGAAATTGATAAGGATGAGTTCGACTTTATCTAATAAATAATTATGCAAAATTTATACGAGATTTTTTTTTTTTTTTTTTTTTTTTTTTTTTTTTTTAAAAAAAGATGGTTCAGTGATTTAGCATCAACTGTTCACAATTTAGAAACGCGAAAACTTCACAACGCTGAATCCGAGAAAAAAAATCTGTTTTGAATTATGAATGTCAGAAACATGCTGATCGCACTCATAAATAAATGTTATTATGATAGCTGAATTTTGTATTGTTCCTTGATTCTTTAAAATAACTTATTCATGTATATTATAGATATTTAGTAATTATTACATGTATAACTTATGGAACTTAAAACTAAAGAATCAACCTTGCGCCTATCAGCTTAGTTAACAGTCTTTCACCCCCCCCCCTTTTTTTTGCTACAGTCTGAATAACCAATCATGTCGCGTGTATTTTGATTACATTGGTCTCGCACACCGAGAAATGGACAATAAATATTATACTCTCTGTACAAGGTTATTTCTAATTTTACTAATTTTACTAAATTTATGCATATCGTAAGAAATACAAAATGTACTAATATTTAACCCGATTCTCAAAACGAAAGTAGAAACTTCTACACCTGGTGGATATGTGAGTAAGAGGGAGAGAGAATAAGCGCAAATTACTTATAAGGACAATAAACGAGGTGATCTTGGTCTTATCAATATCGAATGCAAGCATAAGAGTGTAAAAGCAGGATGGATCAAAAGACTTTTAAAAACTTTTATGCATGGAATTTTTTAAAATAAGGCATGAAATATTAATGGAATAAATTTCAATATTTGCCACGAAGCAATATTAAATTAAATTAAATTAAATCAAATTCGCAAAAGAACTTTTGGTTAAACAGTCAGATAAAACATAACAATAATCCGCTATATCTAAAATGTTGGGCTAGAAGTGGAATTTTATATGTAAAAGATCTGTTTACAACAGAAAGTATGAAGACATAGATCATTGAATCGAATAGTATTACATACACGAGTATTCTATAATTAAAACATTGAAAAAACTAAATATAGATCACTACCATGAAAACAACACAGATATTCAAAATTCATACTTTTACTTTTGTGGAAAATATAAAAAAAAAACCCAAAAATTCGAAAAATCGGGATTTTATTATGATATTTTGGATTATAAAAAAGATGCTTAAGGCCAATAAATGTACACACGACCAGGTAGCAGAGTTCAATTTTCAATCATAAACAGTTGAATTGTGACCATATTGCGAGTAATTGAAATAGAGATGTACGATAAAACTGTACAATCTGCGGAAAAGTAGAATATATAAATGAAATATATGGATATATCGAACAGTATTCAAGCTCAAAAGTCCATTGAAACGATGAAACAATAAATCAGGAGCAGAGCAAACAAAAACCTTAAATTATCAGAAGTGGGATTAGGTGCCGTGGAGGAGTGAGCATCCCCTGCCACCCACGGTGTGCTCCTTGTCATACTCGGGAAATAACGGAACAATTCAGTGTGTAAATAAATGATTAACAATTAGTATAAAAAAACATAAGTTAGCATTTGACATAATGAAAGCTGACATGGTCATTGCATAATGATGACCGTACACGAGACTGTTTATATTCTTGTTCCATCAACGTGTTTGTCAATAACTTTCCTCGTTTTAGAAATTGTTCATACGTAGAGCATGCTTTTGCATATTGAACCAACTGAAATATATAAACCCCGTATGCAAGTGATAATGGTATATTGCTGCATAAGTAAGGCAAGTTGACAATTATAAGTTAAAGTCATCACGTTTATCATAAAGCTTTGTTGTTAGGTTACAATTAATGTCTTTTTCTCATAAAATATACAAATATGATACAGATATGTCAGACCCTATGATACATTTTATATCAAGCTCACTGGGATATATCGTGTCGACATATGCGTGGAAATAACTATTGTTATTTGATAATACGTCGTTTACATATCTTAATGTCGAGTTGAGGCAACAGCAAGTGTTTTCTTCTTCTCATGTAGAAGTTTTTGAATAAATTCTGCTATATATGAATACAAAAAAGGTCTGCTTATAACGGTTATTGGTACCCATGGAAATTCCAGTAATTTTCAGTCATTTCCCGACCATGACAAGGAGCACACGGTGGGTGTGATCGGTCGCCAGGAGATGCTTACTCCTCCATGGCACCTGATCCCACTTCTGATGTTTTGGAGGTCCGTGTTTGCTCTGCTCCTATTTTGTAATGTTTAATGGACTTTTGAGCTTGAATACTCTTCGTTATCTCCATAATTTCATCGATATTGTCAATCAGAAACTTAAACATCTTTTTGATATTTACTTCAAAGTATTTGTGTCTACAATTAGAATGTTTTTAACAAAATAATTTTGCAAATGACCAATGACATGGAAATTTACGAGTTCCATTTTTTTTTTTTCGAAAAAGCAGCTGTCAAAATGATGTTAAAAGCCTGGACTTTAATTTGTCGTGGGGAATGGTTGTGTAAAGTGTTGAAAAGTTGAATATTTTGATGTTATACATTTTGGTAAAATTTTGTGGTTACAAATTTTTTAAAAGTTCCTTTGAGTTTTTTAGTATACACATCTGATTAACACAACTTCTCGAATGTACTGTTGTACAGTACTCCTGAAGTTTTCCTTCACTGCCGTAAATATTTTAGTGAGGATTAAAGAAGGAGGCTTGGTACATTGATTGATTGATAGATTGAATGTTGTTTTACGTCCCATTCGAGAATTTTTCACTCATATAGAGACGTCACCATATACCGGTGAAGAGCTTCAAATTTTGACCTTTAATCGGCACACAGGGCCACTGAGCAGTGAGGGATCTTTATCGTGCCAACACCTGCCGTGACACGGGGCCTCGGTTTTTAAGGTCTCATCCGAAGGTCCCGAGGCTTGTAGAACAATTACTGAAACCCGCTATGTATCTTTGTTTGTAAGGATTTTTATGGAGTTTTTGAATCCAGCCCATTACGATTTATTTATGAAAATCTGGAAAGAAGTCGTGGAATACTGTTATAGAAGCAATGTAACCTTCCTTCTCTGAAAGTTAGGGAAAAAATACGAAGTTTGATACTTCAAGGATTCAAAATTATCTCTTAGCTTATGATGTGTATTACTTACTTAAAAAAAAAAACAACAACACATTTTATTACTATTTTAGACATTCAGACATTTTGAAAAATTCCTATTTAGTTCCTTTTTTCATCGTGAAATGTCTTTTGAATATGTAGGCCAAGTTCTCACACACTACTAGAAATATTTAATTTGAACAATTTTTACAGTCCAGAAACATGAAAACCTGAAAAAGGAATGACTATGGTTGTACAGCTTGCTGCAAGATAAAGGTATATGTAAATATGTCCTATGTTTATCTTTGCAATTTCAACTTCATTTACGAGATTCCATCTTTATCTATAACTGCATATTATACAAAGTTGTAAGTTTTATTGATGAATTGCTCAATCAAAAGGATTGAAGGTATTCAGTTTTCTAGATACTTTCTTTTCTTCTTACTTAGTAATGTGCTTTTTCACTAAACTGAATATTTTTCTTCATTAAAGGGAAACAGAATACAATCATCCTGCTTTGTCATCTTTTGATATTTGACAACAAATAAATGCAACAAAGAATGATATGTACATACATGCAAACTCTGTCATTTTACTCGGTAAAAGGAATGTACAAAGAACGTGTCCTCCATCTATCAAAAATACAATTATGCATATTATAAGATATATTACCAATCTGTTTATATGATACAGAGCTATTATTAAAAAAATTGTTCTGTCAATTTCTTGATCATTTTCAAATTTTCAGGAACTACTGTGAAATATGCAATCACAAAATTAATATTTTTCCATCGTTGCCTACACACAATATACAGCATTGTTTCTACTTAAGTATTTTTACACGTTTTTAAATAAATAACTTTAAAGTATTTTTTTATAACTCTAGTGGGAAATTAAGTTATGAACAATTTCCAATATCACTCAGAAATGGTCGTGATTCCAAAACTTCTTTTCGATAAGTAGCCATTTATCATTCCCAATTGCAGATAGCATCTGTATATGCACTTAAAATTACACGTGTTTTTTGTAAATTGATTTGGGATGGTGTCGGTTCTTAAACTTTTTTTGTTATTTGTTGCAATCCGTGTTCGATTAAAAAAATAAATAAAATGCAGCGAAATCGATAATTTATTAGAAAGAGATATGCTCGTAGCATAATTATTAGATAAACAATCCATATATATTCTGAACGCACTGTTGGACAAAGGAAACTTTTTTTTTTTTTGACTCCCATTCTTGTGTTTTTTTTATGTTGCAAATACCGTAAATTTGATAGGGTCAAGATTTACTCACTTTTATAGCTCATTTAAGTAGGCAAAACAATGCATATGAATCTCTATGAATAAATACTATATGGTCTTTTTAAAACACACTATTATACTTTCATTTCTCATAAATGTGATAAAGATAAATGGATATGCAACTTATCTTGCCAAAATAACACTTTGAGTATGTAGAATGGAAGTCAGCTTGATCTCGTTGTACTTGCTGAGATGGCGTCTTTTCTTAGTTTGACACGCAGTTTCTCTGTACTTGAGGCTTGGATCAAACTATTATCGTAGTTTGTAAAAAATAAAAATTAATACAAAACATTAATTGTCAACGAAATTGATAATGTGTATACCTAATATATATAGCCGTAGAGAGCACATTTGTACAGTAATGTGCTAGAATGAGGGGTCCAACTCCTCGAAAATATCAAAAGTTCAAAGATATCCGCTTCACTATAAATTCTGAATTTTTAAAAACGTGTAGCTATTATTCCTGCTATTCTGAAAAGTGCTGGGAGCTGTTTGTGCATTGTTTGTTTATTTTGTAATGTAACATTATTCCAGCGCGTATTACATCTATCTCTGGAGTTTATAGAAAGACGGCTAAATCCTTTTACATAATTCCCGAGCATGAGGAAGTTGCTCCCAGCACTTTAATGTTAAGAAATTTGTCTTAAACAAAACAGAATAAATTTTATAGCGGAAAGATATCCGTATATCGTTGAACTTTTACGATCATTGTAGCAGTACATATTTGTTCTAATTTTTAAACCTGTCACATGACAAACAGCTGATGTAAGCGATGTCGCCTTTGGCCGAACTCAGCAGAGACCCGATATATACAAGTGCAAACACCACAATGCACATTCATCAAAACTAATGCTATTCAAAAAAAATTGTATTCATTTTCTTTGAATATATAAGGCGTATATTTCATGGGCGTCTTTAACCTAACTGCGTGTGAATTCAGTTTTTGTGTTTTAAACTAGTCTTTAAATAATGTTCTTAGCATGAAAAATCCTTTATATGCTAAAAATGAACGTAAATGAGGCGATATTTCACCATATGAACCGAAATTAAATTACATTTTTAAAGAACAATGTTTTGTTTAATTAATATCTTTGTTTTTTATCCTTATTTTTAGTTGCTTCCGTAAAATGGAATCCCCTTCATTCATAACTGAGGCAATATAAATGGGCTCTATATAGGCAAAATTATGTTGAAATTAAATGCTTAAACTTGCGTATGCGGTGATTGGCTTCTGGTATATGAATGATATTGATTGATTCATCATTACTTAGAACCGTAAATTCTTTTATGAATTGGACATTTGTGAAAAAAGTTGGAAGGGAACAATATCCGTGGCATCACACACCCTACTTCAGTCGCTAATCCCTAATATCACACACTCTGCTTCAGTTACAATGAAGGAAACAGTCGCTAATCCCTGGTATCACAAACTCTACTGCAGCTAACATTCAGGAAATAGTTGCTAATCCCTGGCATCACACACTGTACTTCAGTTTGACATTCAGGAAACATTCGATATCTAATTCTTACAATATGTACTTATAAAAACATTTTTATCTAGTGAAGAGAAAAATTTGCATAAAAAATAGAATCTTCTTGATATCAAGTAATTTACATTTGTCACAACCCAAATTAAGGATATAACATCAAATGACATAAAGAAGTAACTCCCCCATCTCTTTCTCTTATTTCCTCCCTCTAACATTTCAACGATTCATTTTCTACTTTATCAAATTAAACAATCGTTAATTGAGATAATGAAGATAATGGATAAAATTTTTTAAAAAACTTAAATAAATAACATTTTTCTCGCTTTCAGAATAATCCAAATTGTTGAACCAAGTTAACTTTCATTAATACAAATACGATGCCCTCAGTTTACTTGTTCAAAATACAAACATAATATTCCAAAAATAAGGTCCTTAAACAATTTTTTTCATGTCCAGATCGACGGTTTTGATTTCAGTATGCTCAGTATGTAAAATATCAGTATTTATTTTAAGTCTTCTAATATGTTGATTCAAATGTTCCTTTGATAAGTATTTGATAAGACATACTTGAATACTCTAGCAAATTTATTAAGTGCAATTTACTTTCTTCATCCTTATCATGTTGAATTCCATGATTACTTTTTTCTTTAAATTGATTCTTCACGCTATATTGAACATTCTAGTTACATCAAATACTTTTGGATATTTACATCCCATTGTCCGCGACTCAATCATCAGAGGAAATATATACATAACCTATAAACTATAAATAATTATAATTGGACTGTTCTCTGGGAAAAGGGGTCTTAATGACAAAATTCTCGAAATTGACTTTTTCAAATATTTCAAATCTACAACAAATTTAGGACACACGGGCAAAATTTGAGGATTTAATTTGCTATAGTTTTAAAAATATACGTGTTTGAAAACAACATGTTGTAATGAAACAATAACGTCTTTGACGTTATTCAATAACGTCATCTTTTTTAAAAAAAAACTAGATGCTGTCATGAGACAGTAATACCCGCACTAAGGTGTTTGCCTCTAAATGCACACTCCTTCATATTGGGCTTACCAAGGAAAAAGTCCAAATAATTCTATAATTTACACAGTACATGTATTCGTCAAATCGAGCATAAAATGCTCAGGTGACCATGTGACCCATGAACCTCTTATACGCATTTCATATACTTAATTCATTACCAGTCTGAAATATCAGAATTTAATTAATGTTGTAAATTAGGTTTTAATAAAAAGGGGGGGGGGATATAAATTTTTGGCCCATAATTGGAACTTTTTAAATTAAATTTATCTTCTCAACAACAAATAATATTATTTTAGTACAAAGCGTTTTTGATGAATTTATCAAAATGTGCAAACTTTTTTTAGTATTTGATTAGGCAAAAACCTCCTTGAAAAGCCATACCCAATCAATTTATATGTGTCCCCCCCCCCCCCCCCCAAATACACACACACACAATTTGCCTGTTTTTGGAAATAGGCCTAGATGGCAAAGTTATGTTAAAACATCGTTTGTTATGATAATTTAAAATTTGTTCTTGTACTGTACATGTATGTGAACACCTTTTTGAAAATTTCTACATCACATTGGGCTTGCGTCACCCTACCAGTACTAGTACTAGTTTTACCATTATCATTTTTAGATTGCACATGCCATGTGACATGGTGCAGTGTTACATGTATATCAGTGGAAATTAATTCATTTTGTGTTTTAATTGGATTATATTTCATGAAGTTGACAGGACCTATGACAGTCGGTAAGTACAAGTTTAAGTATAGATTGGGGTAAAATAAACCAAAATGCAAATGGTTAGGTTAAAGTTTAAAAAGGATCAAAGATCATCGGCAATCTCCTATGCAGAGTTGTCGTTCGTTTCTCTCTCAGACACTGAATGTATGAGCCGATCGTAGAGAGTGGATCATCGATGCCACAATAGACGAATTTCACATTCTGAAGAGTTATCTCCCGTTGTCGACATTACATTCAGTTACAGGCATAGATCCGGGAATTTTTTTCCGGGGGGGAGGGGGGTCCACACCTCGGTCCAAAAAAATTCCAGCCCAGAATTTCCTGAGGAGCAAAATAAAAAAAAAACAAACAAACAAACAAAATAAAAACAATGATGGTGGGGTCCATGTTTTTATAGGGGGAGGGCATCCAAAGTCATTTTTTATTTGCTTCTGTAAATCAGTATATAGTCCTATTTAAATAACTCTGCAAATTCCAGGGGGGGGGGGGGGGGGTTCCAATCTCCCTAGCCGCTCCCTGTCCCTGAAATGACAAATGATCATGCGACTCCTAAATAGTAGAAAATTTTTCCATTTGACTAGACATAATTTTGTTTCTTGTGTTATTATGTTATGTACATCTAATGGTTTAAGGTTATGAACCCTTGAGGTCATCCCCACTCTCTTGTTCATAATATGACTACATCAAATTAAATAGAAGTGCATCAATGATAAGATTACTTGACATTTCATTCATGAATTTGGGTCAACCTAGAATTAGGAATGAAAATCATTCAAAGAGATGGACCATTAAACTATTTGTATGTATTCACATTTTTTTTTATGTCAAACCAAAGTATTAGACTAGTTTGCATACATGAACAAACTGGGGTCTGGGAAGGGGAAGGGGCAAGGGGAAGGAGTTATCTCTTTACGTCTTAATTAATTGTTGAAAATTCCTAAAATGAATGTTAACCTTAAATCCGACTTGTACGTCTTCATTATTTTTAAGTGGTGGTGTCTCCGTATGAGTGAAAAATTCCCAAGAGGGACATTTAACAACAAACAAACATTAATGACTTAAAAAACACAATATACATGTACATGTTTATTAGTCAATGGATATACTTCTGATCATATCTCTAGTTCTCCCTTGAATCAGAAATGATGATATAAATATTTTAAGAATGATTAAGAGTTGAAAAGGTTGTGCATTTTAAAATTCACTAAGCTCTGTGGTTGAATTAGCTATACCAGTTTAGCTTATTTTGCTACTCAAAGCACCTTGATTAACTATTTTTAATCATACTGTTTTCTGAAATGTGAAGTTTTTTCAACATGGATACAAGTCATACCTTTTCAGCTTCTGAAAACAATTAATGCATGAAAAAAAAACTGCTTTTCAAATACTGTAACTCTTTCCAAGTACTTGTGATCATCAGTTTTTAGCTCACTTGAGTTTTTCTGGTTTTCTGATCACATTTTGTTTGTCATTCATCTGTCCGCCTGTAAACTTTTCACATTTTTGTCTTCTTCACTAGAACCGCCGGGCCAATTTCAACCAACCCAGCCACAAAGCATCTTTGGGTAAAGGGGATTCAAGTTTGTTCAAGTGAAGGGTCACACCCTCTTTCAAGGGGGGATAATCAAGAATTAGTGAAAATTTGGTGGTATCATTTTAAAAAAGTCTTATCAAGAACCACTGACTGGGCCCAAAAAGTTGAAACTTTCTTTACATAGACAGTGTAGCTTCAAATTTGTTAAAATTATGACCCACTGGGGTAGGATGGGGCCACATATGGGGATCCAATGATTTACATAGAAAAATGCAGGGGATTTTTTCCATCATAAATCTTCTTCTCATGAATAGCAAGGGCATTATTGTCGTCCGTTTTCACAAAAGGGACCTAGGGGACATTAAATCTCATTTGTCTGTCAGTCTGTCCGTTTGTCAGTCTGTCCGTCTGTCACAATAAATTTAACCTTGGTCATAACTTCTGAATAATAAGA